GCAGGCAAGAGGTTAGGTAAATGGCATCGGTCTATGATAGCACAGACAGCAGAGCCAGGATGACATAAGAAGCTGTGGAGTGGCAGCACAGTTTAAGGTTAGCACTGTCCAACAGAAATATAATGCAAGCCATAAATGCAAACCCATATGTAACTTTAAATTTTTAGTAGCCACATTAAAAAAAGTAAAAAGAAGTAAAATTAATTTTAATAATATATTTTATTTAGCCCAGTATATTAAATGTCACCCCTGCTGAAACTTCCCCCCACCCCGTGGAAAAATTGTCTTCTACAAAAGCAGTCCCTGGTGCCAAAAAGTTTGGGGACCGCTGCTCTAACCCATGCATTTCAGCAGGGGCGATGTTACCACCAAGGGGGCAAAAACTGATTCTTGGAGGGTAGGGACAAAAGTATCTTAGATATTATAATAGTTTGTGGCCTTCAAAGGGCCACAGAACATGAAGAGACATACAATATATCTGTGGTATTAAAATTTCCTGGAGTGAGTGATTAGGACAAAGATGTCTACAAAGGCTCCTTAGGGGGGCAATACTGAAAAAAAGGTGGAGAAACACTGCTCTACCTAATCTGTGCATGCTGGGAAACTTTAGGGGATGATCCTGGACCCACGTCTCTTCTCTCTTTATACTTTCTCTCTTAATGATCTCATCAATTTCCACAGATTTAAATACCATTTTTATACTAACGACTCCTAAATTCCTATCTTGAATTTCAGTGTCCTCTGGAACTCATGGTCTCTCAAATCTTCTAAGTATTTTCTTTTCTTAATGTTTCCTTCATCTTCTGCCTAAATGAAATTTGGCTCTGCCTTGATGACACTGCAGCCCTCTCAAGTGATGTCTTTTCTCTCTCATGCTTCTTTACCAGTGAGCCTGGAGGTGGATCTACTTGCTCCTTAGGGTCATTCTTTCTCTCCCTCCTCCCTAAAACTCCTCAGTTTTAAAACTCATGCTATCATATAATACTACCCATTATCCGCCCACCTGGTTATAGTTCTCTACCAACTTTCAGGTCATTCTGCCTCATTCCTAGCTCACTACCTCTCTATGACACAAATCCTGCCATAATTTTTTTTTTTCTGCCATAATTTTTGATAATTTCAATACTCATAGAGATGACCCATCTAATACCCTGGACTCTCTGTTCCTTGCCTCTTTTCCAACAAGAATCTTATATTCCACCTTATCTCAGAAACTCATTCCCTATGATCATACAGCTTTGTTATCACCAGGCTCCAAAAATTCTTCAGCTGTATCAGGGCCTACAATCCACTAAATCCCGTCACATTTTTCTTCAACATATTTATATCCTCATTTCCTCTTTATGCAACTTAACTATTATAGCTCATCATTATAACCACTCTCTACACATACCTCCAATTTCCTAGACTCTTTCTTCAACATACTCACTTGGCAAAAACCCAGCTCTGGTTAAATCCTGCTCCTCCACTATTCAGGCCTATACTCATGCAGCTGAGTGTGACTGAAGAAATCATACTGCCAATGTTGGCTGGTCTCACTAACCCCAGTGGTAATGCCCAGGAAGAATACTTCATCTCCCCATTCACCTCCAACTTGTCTAGGCAACTATTTTATACCTTCCTTCTCATCTTCAACAACTCCTCCTTCATCTTCCCTCTCAGCTGATAACCTGGTTTCCCGTTTCACTGAGAAAATAGAAGCACTCAAAAGACCTTCTATAAGTTACCACACCCACATCTGTCCACCTACCTGCATCTATTTTTAATACTTTCTATCTTCCCTCCTATTGCTAAGGATAAAGTATCTGTACTGCCTAAGACTAATACTTCTATTTGTCTAAAATACTCTTTTCAATTCCTTTCCTTCAATTTTCTCTTTTTAAAAACAGCTTTATAGAAATGTAATTCACATACCATATAATTAACCCATTTAAAGTGTACAATTCAATGTTTTTTAAGTATATTAATAGGATTGTGAAATTATCATCATGATCTAATTTTAGAACATTTTGGTCTCCCCTTAAAGAAACTCTATACCCATTAGCAGTCAATCTCTATTTCCCCCCTATATTCCCAAGTCCTAAGCAACCTCTAATCTACTTTCTGTCTAAATTTGCCTGTTCTGGACATTTGATATAAATGGAATCATATAATAAGTGGTATTTTGTGACTTGGCTTCTTTGACTTAGCATAATGTCTTTAAGGTTTATCCAAATTACAGCATGTATCAATACATTCCTTTTTATGGCTGAATAATGTTTCACTATATGGATATAACACAGTTTGTTTATCCACTCATCAGTTTATGGCTATCTGGGTTGTTTCCACTTTTAGGCTATTATTATAATGCTGCTATGAACATTCCTGTACAAGTTTTTATGTGAACATGTATTTTTACTTCTCTTGGGTAAAGTTGTAGGATCATAGGTAATTCTATATTTAGCTTTCTACGGAACTGACAAACTGTTTTCCACAGTAGCTTCATTATGTTACATTCCTACTGGCTATGTACAATATATAAGGGCTTCTAATTTTCCCCTGTGCCCACTCCAGTCAGGTTTTTATCCTGCGGACTCGTTGAAGTTACCAATTACCTCCTTATGGCTCAATCAATGGTCAATTTTCAGTTTTCATCCTGCGTGGCCTATTAGCAGCATTTGATTCAACTAATCTCTAACTCTTCATTGAAACTCTTCATTTAGATTCTAGGAAATTAGTCTTTGGTTTTTCTTCTATATAGTTGAGCTTCTACCCATTCTTCCTCTTCCTCAGCTTCTAATCACTGGCACATCCAAGATTCAGTCTACTGATCTCTTCCCTTCTCTATCTACATTCATATTATTTGTGACTCAGTATAACTGTCATTTATATATGTTATCTGTTCCCAAATGTGTATTTACAGGCTAGATCTGTGCTGTCCAATACAATAACTAGTAGTGACATGTGGCTACATAAATTTAAATTTAATTAATTAATAAAAATTTAATTTAAAGTTAATTTAATATTCAGTTCCTCAGTCACATCAGCTATATTTTAAGATATCAAGAGCCACATGTGCCTAGTGGCTATGAAACTAGACAGCACAGATATAGAACATTTCCATTGACACAGAAAGTTTTACTGTACAGCACTGATTGAGACCTCTCCTCTAGACTCTACATTTATATATCCCACTGCCTCCCTGATATCTCCACTTGAATGCCAATAAACATCCCAAAACCAAAATCCTGATATTCCTCCCTAAACATGTTCCTTCCATTTTTTCCTGTTTCAGTTGATGTTAACTCTGTCCTTCCAGTTGTTCAAACCAAAAATCATGGGGTAACCCTTGACTTCACTCTCACTCCACATTCAACTGATCGGCAAATTCTGTCAGCTCTATATTCAGAATCTGACCATATTTTATAATCTCCACTTCTACTACCCTGCTTGAAGCCACCACCATCTTTTGCCAGTTTTAGCAGCTTGCTAACCAATCTCCCTGCTTCTGCCTTTACACCACTAAGTTCTATTTTCAACATAACAGCCAGAGAATTCTTGTTAAACTCAAAGTCAGATCATTAGTCCTCTGTTCAAAATCCTTTAATGGCTTCCCAATCACCCACAGCAAAAGTCAAAGTTGCTATAATAGCCTAGGATACTGTACGATATGATCCCATTACCTCTAATCTCATCTCCTAATACTTCCCCTTTGCACAGTCCTTGGCAGTCATACTGGCTGTTCATCAAAAGCACTAAGCATATTTCAGCCTTTTCCATGAAATATAATTTAGAAATCACAAAGTTTAAGAATCACCAAGCTAGAGTAAAAGAGGTTTAAATAGAAATTCTATTTCCAGACATCTAGATATTGAAAGTAATCTACACTTAACTATGAGGTTCCCTAGCCAGTGAGTGGGGTTAAATGACATTAATTACATAAAGAAAAAGGTCTTCAAGGGCTTCCCTGGTGGCGCAGTGGTTGAGAGTCCACCTGCCGAGGCAGGGGACACGGGTTCCCGCCCCGGTCCGGGAAGATACCACATGCCGCGGAGCGGCTAGGCCCGTGAGCCATGGCCACTGAGCCTGCGCATCCGGAGCCTGTGCTCCACAACGGGAGAGGCCACAACAGTGAAAGGCCCGCGTACCGCAAAAAAAAAAAAAAAAGAAAAAGGTCTTCCAAAAGCTCTAATCTCAATTACTTCACTAAACCTACACCTCACAAAAAAAAAATCAGCTAGTTGTCTGGAATGGCATAAATAAACTAATCAGCTAATAAAATTTTTTAAAATAAAAATTTAATTACTGAACAACTGTAAGAATATGGATTAAGATTTCTGATTTGGTAATAGTATAAATATATAAATTCTTATTTGCTAAATTGTAAAAGACTGCAGGGTGATATACAACCACCTGCTCTGTAAACAAGTTCTACTCAATGCAACTGGTCTGCAAACTGTGTAGTATGGTCTGTTTTGAAATAAGAATCTTGCATAAGAATGCAATTCAATACACTGCTTCCTTCATCAAGAAAAATTGGCTATCAAAAAATTTCAGATGGACTAAAATGTTTTACAGTCTAGTATAAGCCTCTATTTCACTGCAGACCGGTAACTAACATTTTATAGACTGACAGAGGTCCATGAATCATATTTTGGGTAGCACTGCTCTAAATCACCTCCTGGGTTTTAATTCAAGTCTACTCAATATTTTAAAACACTACCTACATTCAATGTTAGAGTTTTTGTGCCATTTCCCACTCTGTAGTTTATTGGAATTAATATGTACCTTGTTGTTTTCTAGATGTCACTAGTCTCTTTATTTATATTAAAGAATTTTAATGCTGGTCAGAAAGAAGGCATCCAATAACAGAAACATACTGATAAAATTTTTTAATTAAGAGATTAAAAATTATAACTTAAAAATAGCCTCAAAAAGGTGAAATTTGGTAATATATTAGCTTTGAAAACTTTGGTTTATTTTGAAAGAGATATAAAAATCATTCACTTTTCAACACTAACCTAAATATTCCATCAGCTGTTCAGCAGTTATGATTTCCATCATCGGTGGAAGTTTCACCTGAAAAACAAAGTATTTTTCTATAAAATCAAATGTTTTAGATAATTTAAAGTGTTTCTTCAGTCAGAAACACAAGTATGTATGTGTATTATATGTATCTACTATAGGTATACAACACTCACATTTAAAAATCTTTGTAACTAATCTTTAATACAACAAAGCCAATCCTATCACCATAAAATTTACAGGGTGATACAAGATCTCAGAGAGTCAATGAGAAATCTATTTTCAAAGCCAAGTGCTATGCCTTTCGTCACCCATCCTGATTGTCATTATGCACCTGCAGCAGTGTCCTGCATGATAGAAAATACAGTTTAAGGGCAGGAAGAGGCACCGAACATGTTTTGACAGGTCACCCATGCAGCAGTTTTACTGAAGACAGGCTTAACACAGGTCAATATTCCATTACTTCAGTCTACCTGGGCCATTTTTTTTTGTTGAGTAGCTAAAATGAATACAGTATAAAGGATGGTCATAAACTGAAGGATTCATATTATATGAGTCAACCTGTAAAATTTAAAAACAGGCAAAATTAAACTTTACTGTCTAGAGCTGTACATGTATAAAGAAAAGAAAATGGATACTATAAAAATTAGGACTGTGGTTAACCCTAGGGATAAGAGAAGGAGTTACAGTCGTAACAGGACATGTAAGAGGCCTCTGGGGTGCTGGCAATGCTCTATATCTTGACTTGCATGGTAGTTCCACTGTTTGCTTTATGATAACTTGTTAAACTGGACATCTCTGTTTTATGTACTTTTCTGTATGCGCTATATGTCACAATAAAAAGGTTAAAAGTAGATATATACGTTATAGTCATATTTAAGTTTCAAAAGTTATGTCAGCTGCAACACAGTCTAAATGAATTTTTCAAATTAATTATCAGATGAATTACACAGATACTACAGCCAATGATTGTAAATATTTTAGCTGACTTATTGAAAAGCATACTCCTTGGTATATTCATGGAAGAAAAATAAGTACTGTAGGATGCAAACTCGAACAAAATAATTAACATAGCAATGACAGAATAGCAGCATAATTAAAAATTCCTCAGGAATTACTATTTCAGGATCATTTAAATCAGCAATTTCTCCAACAACAAGTGTTGAAGAAGGTGCTCTGGATCTTTATGTTACCGAATGTAGTAACAGTATGTCACAATTTTTTGTTTTAATCAATGAATAAAGTAAGTGCTAAAAAAGATCCCTGTAAAACAGAACAGTTTTAGACCCTCTGAAAGCATACATGACAGTTGGTACTTATGAGTTAGTCATCCAGTGGCTTTATCACTCAGTGAAAACCAAGAGTTGCCATGGAGTTTTTGATCATTACTTGTTTCTAAATTATTCTTATTTTCTAGGACACTTTTTAAAATTGTAATAGACTTTTTTTTTTTTTTTGGCTGCGCCGCATGGCATGCGGGATCTCAGTTCCCCGACCAGGGATAGAATCCACGCCCCCTGCAGTGGAAGCACAGAGTCTTAACAACTGGACCACCAGGGAAGTCCCAGAAATTGTAATAGACATTTTTTTGGAGCAGTTTTAGGTTTACAGAAAAATTCAGCAGAAAGTACAGAGAGTTCCCATAAAGAGTATATTTTTCAAATTGAAACTCATTGGCAAATTACAGTCCCCTGCTTGTTTTTCTAAATAAAGTTGTATTGGGTGTCACTCTCATTTGTTTACGTACTGTCTTTGGCTGCTTTTGCACTATAATAACAGGCTGAATCTTTGCAACAGAGACGATATGGCCCACAAAGCCTAAAATATTTACTATCTGGTCCTTTACAGGAAAAGTATGTTGATCCCTGCTTTAGATGATTTTAACTGCTCTTAGATAATATTTTATCAAGGTGTTTCAATACCACTTTGAAGGTCTGATATTTAAACCAGTAGTTTATATACAGTGTGAATATTTACATTCTGAATAACTGTCAGACCACTCTGAAAGTCCAGTTTTCACCTAACAATGCTTCTTAAATGAGACCTATATATTCTTTTATTCCAGACAAATTCAGTACAGAAATATATTCACCAGAAAATCCCATAAACAAATAGCTTATCCTCTTTTGGTCAATGTAGTAATCCCACTATAAAATTGTCAATAAGAAACCAAGGCACTAACAAGTGTATGTATTTGGGAAATACATTCTACAATCCTAGATTTCTACAAATAGATGATTTCAGGGTTTAGTCTTGAAATTTCCAAATAATAACAACTGCCTATCATGTCTTGCTTCAAACATCTGAAATAGGAAATGACAACCTTTATAGAGATTTTAGAAGTGGGACAACAAATACGCAAATATTTTAACTATTCCCAAGCATACTGAGCGGTATATTCATTTCCCGAATCTTAGCCAACAAAATATTATGGATGTTCACTAAAGCTAGGGACAAAAGAGTATAATAGTGAAGAAATGTCTGCCTCCTTCCCACTAATACTTTGGAGCCATCAACAGATCTTAATTTTTTTTAACCACAAAATGATCTTCCTGAATGCTTGCTTCTCTTTTTGCTTCCCTCTACCACCATCACCACAAAAGCAAATGCTGAAGATTTTGTTAATGATCGTAAGACTTTCTTTCCTTTGTCTCTTTAGAGTCTATTAAAGAAAAAACAGGTTATGGGAAAGTTAGCTAAGGATACAGAATTTTAAATTGTGGCATTCTGTCTGAATCTCTAAATTTTAAATCTTATGATGAAAAACAGAAAAACAAATGAAGTATGACCTAGGTTCTCAGATGATCCTCTTTTAGTAATAATCTATAACATATTGTTTACAAGTAAATTAATGTATTCAAGGACATCTGGAAGGTACTCTAAGTAGTTTAAATATTCTTCCTAAAATTTGAGCAAAACCTCTCAGTGCATATTCACACACAGTTCCAAATTAATAGAGTCCAAATAAAATGAAGCTTTTATTATCTAGGAAAATAAATTATGTCCTATCCTAAATATTTTATTATTCTAACTAGATTTCTATTAAAATTAATATTTGAATAAAATATTTAATATTAAACACTTAAATTAACAAAAGGAAATAATGCTACTACAACTCCATATATTCAACTATAGGATAAAACATCATTAATTCAGCCCAATTATTCTGTAATTCTTAGTCATTCGAAGAGTGAAGTGTACTTGAGAATAGACTCAAGAGAGACCAAAAATAAAAATAACAAAACCTGCTTAAAGTGCTAATATCCTGAACAGAAATGTAAAACATCTCAAAAGTGATATGCCAAGATTTTGATACCTATAATTTTGATATAGGGGAGGGGGGGAAAAATGCAGGGGACCCAGTAATAACAAAGAAATAAGGAACAGTCTATATAGCTAATGGTAAGTATGAAAATGACCAGCCAAAGAACATTGTTAAATGTTTAATTAGAATACCAATTAATAAGTACTCAAGAAATACAGTTTGGGGCTTCCCTGGTGGCGCAGTGGTTAAGAATCTGCCTGCCAATGCAGGGAACACGGGTTTGAGCCCTGGTCCGGGAAGATCCCACATGCTGCGGAGCAACTAAGCCCGTGTGCCACAACTACAGAGCCTGTGCTCTGGAGCCCGCGTGTCACAACTACTGAAGCCAGCACACCCTAGAGCCTGTGCTCTGCAACAATCAATCAATGTGATACACCACATTAACAAACTGACACAAAATCATATGATCATCTTAATAGATGCAAAAAAAGCTTTTGATAAAACTCAATATCGATTTATGATAAAAACTCTCAACAAAGTGGGTATAGAGGAAACACACCTCACCATAATAGAGACCATTTATGACAGGACCACAGCTAACAGATCAGGAACAAGACAAGGATGCTCAACCACTTTTTTTTTTTTTTTTGGCATCCAGTGTGGCTTGTAGGATCTTAGTTCCCGGACCAGGGATTGAACCTGTGCCCCCTGCAGTGGAAGTGCGGATTCCTAATCCCTGGACAACCAGGAAATTCCCATTACCACTTTTAATCAACATAGTATTGGAAGTCCTAACCACAGCAACCAGACAAGAAAAAGAAATAAAAGGAATCCAAACTGGAAAAGAAGTAAAACTGTCACTGTTTGCAGATGACATGCTATACATGTCATACATATGTATGTATACATGCTATACATAGAAAATGTATACATATGTATGTATACATGCTATACATAGAAAATCCTAAAGACACCACCAGAACTCATCAATGAATTTGGTAAAACTGCAAGATACAAAATTAATACACAGACTTCTAAAAACAGCAACACTTTCTTTCAATGAAATCTTATATAAAACGTTATCTGAAATATATGTATATATATATGTGTGTGCGTGTTTATTTTTTTTTGGCTGTGCCGCACAGCATGTGGGATCTTAGTTCCCCAGCCAGGGATCAAACCCGTGCCCCCTGCAGTGGAAGCACAGAGTCTTAACCACTGGACCTCCAAGGAAGTCCCGTGAAATATATTTTAAATGAAGAACTGACAGAACTTTGTGACCAGTGAAAAGTGAAGGATGATGGGAAAAGAAAAATTGAAGTTGACTCTAAGGCTCAGGGAACTCTAAAACTTAAGATCCATACATTTAATAAAAATAAGACATTTGGTAAGGGAAGGTAAGTTTGTAGAAGAAAATGATGTCTGCTTCATAACTGTGAAATTTAGTTTGACATTCAAACAGAAAGTTGAGTTGGAACTCAGGAGACAAAATTTTTTTTTTTAATATTTATTTAGTTAGCTGCACCAGGTGGGCTCCTTAGTTGCGGCTCGCAGGCTCCTTAGTTGCAGCATGCAGGCTTCTTAGTTGTGGCATGCATGTGGGATCTAGTTCCCTGACCAGAGATCGAACCTGGGCCTCCTGCATTGGGAGCATGGAGTCTTAACCACTGTGCCACGCAGGGAAGTCCCAGGAGACAAATATTTTTAATTTGTCCGTGAATTATTTGATTCCTGTGCTGTAGTCTGTTTTTGCATTACTTACGGTAAAAAGGATCACTAAATAATACAA